TCACTTGGTAGCCCAGGCTGGCCTTGAACTCACAGATATCCGCCTGCCTCTGCCTCCCGAGTGCTGGGATTAAAGGCGTGCGCCACCACCGCCCGGCATATCTTCGTTTTTTAATGCCTTGTGATCACATTAAAAACCAATGTTCCTTAGAAAATGCTAAACACCTGGTGCCAGTAGACACCGTTCAACCTGACCTGAACAGTCAATGGCCTTAGGCAGTGTTAACTACTGCTTCTGGAAGTTTCCAGTTCAGCTTCTGTTTTGCTTTCTTCGTCTTCTCATTCATTGTTTCTGCCATTTCTTCCTGGATTCCAGGAGGCTGCCACAGTAGGATAGTGATGGCTAGGTCAACTTAGGATACATTACCAGACTCTGTCGATAGATAGATAGATAGATGGATAGATAGATAGATAGATAGATAGATAGATAGATAGATAGATAGATAGATAGATAGATAGATAGGTAGATGGATGGATGAAGGATGGGTGGATGATGGATGGATGGATGGGTGGGTGGATGGATGGATGGGTGGATGGATGGATGGATGGATGGATGGATGGATAGACACACAGGGTATATGGAAGATGAAATACATAGCTATCTATGAGCATCTGATGGGAATTAGCATAAAAGGTGGGGCAAATAAAATTTAAAGGAAAAATTACTATAACAAGTAAATATGCTAGGGAGATGTTTAAGAGAGAGCAAGGTATGGCCATAGAAGAAGATTACAGAACATGGCACATGTTGGGCACAGCTGAGTGGCCTCAACATAAAGTATAAATAGTAGATTAATAGAATGTTGGGCTTTTTCATGTCAGAGCTGAGTGTTAAGGGCCAGCAAGCTAACTCAGCAGATAAAGATGCTTATGCTGAGCCTGTCAGCCTGACTTCAGTCCCAGGGACTCCACCGTAGGAGAGAAGAGTTCCTGAATATTTCCATCTGACCTCAGCACTCACATCGCAGCACCTACACAAAACACAACACACATATACACATGCACACAAGCAATAGGTGTAATTAGAACAATTTTTTAAAGCTGGGAGTGGTCAGTAAGGGAATTGAGGGTAGCTCATTGGGAGAGCGCTGGCCTTATTCTAAGTCCATAAATCCAACATGGCGGCGCATGCCTGTAATTCCAGCACTGGTGAGACAGGCAGGTCAAAAGCTGAAGGCTACATGAGGCAGCCTGGGCTACATGAGGTCCTGTCTCAGGAGGTAAATAGAGACGTTTTGATGAGGTTTTTGTTTGTTTGTCTGTCTTGTTTTTTTTGTTTTTGTTTTTGTTTTTTTCTTTTTTAGATGATCTCACTACGTAGCCCCAGCTAGCTGGCCTGAAATTCCCTATGTAGACCAGGCTGGCCTCCAACTTACAGAGCTCCTCCTGACTCTGCCTCCCAAGTGTTTAGATTGAAGGCATGCACCGCCACATATAGTCAAAGTTTAAAAATATATATTGGGCTGGAGATTGTTTAGCCAGCTCTATTAAAGTGTGATTTAAATATACAGTTCTGTGAGTTTTCATGAATGTTTGCAGTCATGTAAACAACATTAAGTATAAGTTTTCTTATTCCCTACAGAGTTATCTTTTGCTTATTTTTAATCAACCCTATCCCCACCTCTTCCCACAACCATTGATCCATTCTCAATCCCTGTAGTTTTGCTTCTTATAGGATTTTATGTAAATGAGAGAATACATAGTCTTTCGTGCCTGGCATCCTTCACTCAGTTTATGCGGAAGAGATCGGTTAGGGTTAGAAAGATGCTTTGCTTCCATGCACAAGTGGCTAGAGATGTAAGAGACAGAGCACAGAAGGTACACCACGTCACCGCAGTGTTAAGAGTGAGCCGCTGAGAGTGTCAGGCTGGTGGTAACAGAAGGAGGAAGAGTCAGGAGACTTCCGGGGATAACAGATGCAAAGGAGAGGAGAAGAGGGAAGACGGGATGTGTGGTCAGGGAGGAGAGCTCAAGAGTGAGATCTGAAGAAGAAACATTCCGGGGATAAGAAAGTCCAGTGGGAGACCCAGGTGAGATGAGCCTCCTTATAAGGAGGTTTAGGGACCTCTGTGGCCTCTCTGTTTGGTGGTCCCTGACGTGGATATTGAGATGATGGAGAATGGGGTGGGGAGGGATGACAGTATAATCTGATATTCATCTTTCCAGAGCAAGATAGAAAAAGTCTATGAGTTATTACAAACTAGAGGCAAGAATTGGACAGGGGAGTGGAAGTCAGCAGAGGAAAGTCTATCAAGGTTTGGTCAGCAATGAGAAGGGGCTTTTCAGTGTGTGCATACAGTCATGTATATATGTGTGTGCACATATATGTGCATGTTGTATTCATGTTCGTGTGTGTGTGTGTGTGTGTGTGTGTGTGTGTGTGTAGTAAGGGTCTTGTGTATGCATGTGTTAAAGGGTCTCACTATGTGTGTATATAGTAAGTGTGTGTATGTGTGTAGTGAGGGTCTTGTGTGTGTATATGTTAAGGGTCTGTGTGTGTGTATGTGTGTGTGTAGTGAGGTTCTTGTGTGTATATATGTTAAGGGTCTGTGTGTGTGTGTGTGTGTGTAGTAAGAGTCTGTGTGTGTGTAGTAAGGATCTCATGTTCTAGAATAACCTGGAACTACTGGGCTCAGGAACTTCTGCCTTCATTTCCTGAATAACTGGGTCTACAAGCATACAACTGAATCTGGCTCAGCATGTTCTTTTTTCCTGGTACTGTTAAAGCCCTGACCCCAGATGGAGGGTATTTGGAGATAATTAGGTTCGGATCATATGGGTGAGGGCTTCGTGGTGGGACTAGTACCCTTATGAGAGAGACACTGGGAACCTCGCTGCCTCCCTCTTTTCCATGTGACAATTCATAAAGAAGGGACAGCCCACAGTCAGGAAGAGGGCCCTCACTCCAACCAACCACACCCCATCAAGACTCCCATTGCATAAGCCACGAAGTCTGTTTTGTCTCAGCATTCCCAGCTAACTACCACACCCAGAGTCCCAGGAAAAGGGGCGGGGGCAAAGAAGAGCATCCGTTACCGGCTTTCAGGGGGATCACAGAAGTTTCCTGAAAACAGAAAACAGAATGATGGCATGGGTATGGGAGAGTTAGACGCAGGGCAGCAAAGATAAAGATTGAAGAAATATTTGCAGAGTTTCAAGGTGAAGTTCTGTATCTTCTTTGGTTAGTCTGTAGAGGGGCTGCATAATTTGGGGCAATGATCTTTTAGTTTTCCAAAAATACACCACTTAAGATCGGAGGTTCTTTCTAACAGCCGGTTCCTCATCTGTTCTCTCTATACACAAAGCAGTACAGCATGTGGGTTTCAGTGCAGTCTCTCTGTTCACTCACTGTGTGACACTGAACAACTATGTACACCTGTAACATGGGGGCAGTATTGTTTCCTGACTCATAGAGTTATTATGTGGACTGAGTGAGTTAACGTGTGTAAAGTGCTGAGGATTGAAAGCCCAGTATCAGGTTATAATATCATTTGACCATTTGACCCTCAGCATTTAACACCAACCCGAGCAGTATTAGTGACACCTACCATCAAACAGTAATCAATCAAATTGATGGATTAATTAAAAATTAAAATCCTCAGAATGTGGCTTGGTTCACAGTGAGGACTCCTATCAGGAAAATGTACTGCATTTTTGTAATCAGATGTTTCCTGTCCCGATCACCTGGTCCCAAATAAACACACAGAGGCCTATATGAATTATAAATGCTTGGTCAATAGCTTAGGTTTGTTACTAGCTAATTCTTACATTTAAATTAACCCATTTCTATTAATCTTTGTATTGCCACTCAGCTCAAGGCTTTACTTGTCCTCTAGCATGTTTTGCTTCCTGGATAGCTGCTGGTGTCTTTCCTGACTCCACCCTCCTTCTTCCCATCATTCTCAGTTCTGCTTTCCCACCTAACTCCCTGCCCAGCTACTCACCTGTCAGCTTTTTATTAACCAATGAGAGTAATGCCTATTCACAGTGTAGAAAAGGATTGTTCCACAGCACATTTGTGTGTGTGTGTGTGTGTGTGTGTGTGTGTGTGTGCATGCATTGCATGTGCACGTGTTTGTTACTGGAGACTGAACTTCACTCATGCTAAAACAAACATTCTATTACTGAGTTGTATCCCCAACCCATGAACACAGCGTTAAGGCCAATGATTTCACTTATGCTTGTAAAACCCATCTGCTGAAGCCAAAGTCTGTGTTAAGGAGAGTGCTCACAAGTAAAACCAGTCAGTACATACCTGTCACTATGCTAGACCCTTCACATACATTGCCTTGTTCAGTTCAGTGCTATAAGGCAAGGATGACCACCCCCCCACCCCCCATATGCACACACCACACACATTTGACTGGAAAGAAAATGAAGACACAGAACTTGTCTCTAAACCCTTCAAGTCCGGTGAAGCTGTACTCTGTTCTCACTCCTTCCCTCCTGTTGGGTCCAGTACCACAGATGAAACTACCTTCTCGTAGTTTCTAGACCTGAAAGCATTCCAAGAGTTGGAAGTCATCAGTGTTAGTAAAGTTGATTGAATATGAAAAATGCATATCTCAAGTGCCAGGGAAGGAAGGGGAAGAACCACATGCATGATTCATATAAAGACTGTATGATAAGCCAGGCACTCATAACCAGCTTGTGCAATCCTGTCCCCAAAACTGACTGTACGGTTTTCTTCCATCTCTGTTGACTGCCTTGTTCTTATCTTTTGTCTTCCTTAGAGTTTCCAGATGATGTTAATCCAGTTACCAAAGAAAAAGGTGGACCCAGGGGCCCGGAGCCCACACGCTATGGGGACTGGGAACGGAAAGGACGCTGTATCGACTTTTAAGTCACATTCTTTAACTGCAGAATCATTTTCTGAATGGCTTACTTCACATTGTTCTTTCTCTATATCCTTTAAGCCATGTGATGTTCATCGTGTGTTTTAAAATACATGACAGCTGTGAAGCTATATCTAGGAAGTGGAAACACTTGTCCATTTGCACATGTTAACTTTAAGTGTGTTGGGGTAGAGAGAGCTGCAAGCCTTTGCCATGATCTTTATCGATTCAGTCAGTTGCTTATAAAATGCACATGTAAATAAATAATTTTTAAAGATTGTCTTTAGATTGGTATTTTATTTTGTGAATGTTTCTCATGCATGCAAGTATGAGCTTTGTGCCCATGAAGGCCAGAAGAAGGCATCAGATCCCCTGGTACTGGAGTTATGGGTTGTTGTGAGTCACCCTGTAGGTGCTGGAAACTGAACCCAGGTCCTCTGCAAGAGCAAGTGCTCTAAACCTCTGAGCCATCTTTCCAGCCCCTGACATTTAATGTATATTATTTTTAACTATGTTTCTATATGTATGTCTGTGTGTATGTGCATGTGAGTGCAGTTGCTCTAAGAAGCCAGAAGAGGGCGTCAGATTTTTCTGGAGCTGTAGTTACAGGCTGTTGTGAGCCTCCTGACCTGGGCCCTGGGAACCAAACTCACCCTCTCTGCAAAAGCAGTACTCTCTCTTAACCACAGTGTCATCTTCCTGGCCCCAAGAAAATAACTTTTCCATGACTGTTGCTATGACTACATGTGCTGATTAGTTTTTGTCACTTTTGCATAATCTGGAGTCATTTTGGAAGAGGGAACCTCAGTTAAGAAAAGGTTTCCATCAGATTGACCTGTGGGCAAGTCTGTGAAGCATTTTTTGTTTTTTTTTGTTTTTTGTTTTTTGCCCAGCCTACTTTGGACAGTGCTACCATTGGGCAGGTGGTCCTGGATTGTAGGAGAAAGCAACTTGAGCTAGCCATGGAGAGCAAGTTGCCAAACTGCTTCCCTCTGCTTCAGTTCCTGATCTGCTTACCCTGCTTTCCCCTCATGATGGACTATAAACTGTAAGATGAAATAAACTCTTTCCTCTCCAGGTTGCTTGCAGTCAGTGGTTTATTAAAGCAACAGAAACCAAATTAAGACATTAGAATAGTAGCTTTATAAAGTGTTTGTGTGCGCGCGTGCGTGCGTGTGTGTGTGTGTGTGTGTGTGTGTGTGTGTGTGTGTATGTATGTATGTATGTATGTATGTATGTGTGCGCATGTGCACGTGCACGAGAGAGAGTGTATGTGGGCATATGTGAGGAGGTCAGACAGCTTTGGGAGTTAGTCATGGTTCCAGGAATCAAGCACTCAGGCCATTGAGCTTACGCAGTAAGCCTTGACCTCTGTAAGCCACCTCACTGGCCCAATGGTTGCTTTTAAAATGTGGGTTAACTAATAATAATGAAGGCTGCAGTAATGACACAGAATATTTCATTTGGAGTCAAATGAATTAAGAGTTCAGTCCTGGCTGCACTTCGTGCTATCTATATAACCCTGAACCTGTTATTAAAAATATCCTTGTATGGGCTGGAGAGATGGCTCAGAGGTTAAGAGCATCGGCTGATCTTCCTAGAGGTCCTGAGTTCAATTCCCAGCAACCACATGGTGGCTCACAACCATCTGTAATTTGATCTGGTGCCCTCTGCATATATGATAAATAAATCTTTTTTTAAAAAATGTCCTGGTACTTCTGTATCCTTTTGTGTTAATTGGAGATAATAGTAGTTGACAGGACAGATTAAATGAATAGGTGTGCATTAGGGTTCCTGAAAGAAACAGATCCGCTGGGGGGAGAGGTGTGTGTGTGTGTGTGTGTGTGTGTGTGTGTGTGTGTGTGTGTGTGTGTGCATAAAGAGATTATGAGGAACTAGTACAGGAATAGGTCCTCTCTCCACTATGTAGATTCCTGGGATTGAACTCAGGTTGTCACTCTTGGCGACAAGGGCCTGCCTTTAGCCACTCAGCCATCTTGGCAGCCCTAAGACTGAGTTTGAAAACAGCCTGGGATGCACAATAAGCCTACTCCCTTAATGAAAAAACAAAAACTGAACAAAAACCAGCAAGAAGAGATCATTTCTTTCTAAGCAACCTAATAGATGTCTGTCCAAGGGCAATTATTTCGGCATGTATGCCATTTTCTGCGGAACATAACACACGCCATTCATTGTGTTCACTATTCTTAACCATGAATGTATTTTTCCAAATTACCAGGCTTCCTGTGGGAGTGATTAAGAAAAGCAAAATTTGAAATATTTGAATTAAAATACTTTAATGTGAATGCACTAAAAAAGCATTAGTTAAAAATAGTGATAATATTGGGTAGGTGGAATGAAATGCATATTAGTCAGTGAGACATAAAATTAAGATGTAGAAAAGCAGGGGATAGAAGATTCTCTTCAGGTGAGCCGATAACTCAAAGCTTCTGCCCCAGGGCTCTCTGATAACAGGGTCCAAGCCTCTGGGCTCCCCGGAAACAGCTTTTGCTCTGTGTCCTCTGTTGCAGAGGTTGGGCCTTCAGCCCTCCTGGCGATGCAAATGCTTTGGAAGAGAGAGGGTTTGCAGAACCAATAGACAGTGCAGTGGGCTGACCATCGAGTGATGTGAATTGTACGTGCGAGATGATGGGAGGGTAGGGAAACCATTGAAGAGGATATACTTTAATATTTTTAGATGTATTTTTTTTTTTTGTGTGTGTGTGTATGAATTTTTGGCTGCATGTATGTATGTGTACCATATGCATGCCTGGTGCCTGAGGAGGTCAGAAAAAGACACTGGATTCCCTGAAACTGGAGTTAGAGATGCTTGTGAGCTGCCGTGTGGGTCCTGAGAATTGAACCTGGGTCAGCTGCTAGATCAACAAGTGCTCTTAACTGCTGAGCCACCTCTCCAGCCAGTGGGTGTAGCTAGAGTGTCCCTGCCTTGCCCACAGTCAGGACAAATCTTTGTCACCCACCAGTCCCACAGCTGCTCAGACCCAACCAAGTAAACACAGAGACTTATATTGCTTACAAACTGTATGGCCGTGGCAGGCTTCTTACTAACTGTTCTTATATCTTAAATTAATCCATTTCCATAAATCTATACCTTGCCACGTGGCTCGTGGCTTACCGGTATCTTCACATGCTACTTGTCCTGGCTGGCAGTGACTCACTCCTTCTGCCTTCCTGTTCTTTCTTTTTGCCTCTCTGTTAGTCCCGCCTATACTTCCTGCCTAGCCACTGGCCAATCAGTATTTTATTTATTGACCAATCAGAGCAACACATTTGCCATACAGAACATCCCACAGCAAGTGGGTAAACATTTTTAACTTATGTCAAGAAACTAATGTGCATGTTAATTAAACTAGATTTGCTTTTGTATCAGTTATCACCTAGGAGTCAACATGAATTTCTTCTTTTGGAAAGAGATACTTTGATTTTATGTGCATTGCTCTTCCCTGCGTTGGTCTGTGCACCGTGTGCACGCAGTGCTCATGGAGGTCAGAACAGGGTGTCCGATCCCCAGAAACTGGAGTTACAAATGGTTGTGAGCCACCACCAACATTTGTTATTTTTCTTGTAGTTCTGCTAGGTAAAAATGTTTTGAAAATACTGTGTAATTTAGTCAGCCTCCTAAATTAATGAACATTTACTAATTAACCTTCTAAAAGGTATGTTAAATTATTTTGAATTATTAGTAAAAGACCATAAGAAATGAAAATTATGCTGCTTTATACTAATTATCACAATATGTGATAAAAGTTTACACACTTCCAAAGTAAGTATAAAATATACAGTAAGTAAAGCTTACTCCTTTTATCCACAGATTTGGGAGGCAGAGGCATATGGGTCTCTGTGAGTTTGAGGTGGGCCTTGTTTATATAATGAGTTCCAGGACAGCCAGGGCTATGTAGAGAGACCATGTCTCAGTAAAAATACACACACACACACACACACACACACACACACACACACACACACACACGTATCTGTACACACACATACAGTAAACAAAATCTTAAGATAATAAAAAAAAAAACCTTTGCTAATAACATATTTCAGGCCAGTGAGATGGCTCAGCAGCCAGAGGCACCTGCCAAGCTTAATGACCTTAGTTCAATACCCTGGACCCACATGGTAAAAGGAAAGGACCACCACCCCAAGTTGTCCTCTGACCTCCACATGCACACACAAAATAAAAGAGTGTACAAGTTTTTGTTTTAAGTAACATATCTTATGTCAGCTATCAGGTAATAGTGATGGCATGAAAATATTTGCATTCACATCCATCAAACATTAATGAGAAAACTTAAAGACTTATCAGGTTGATGTTTGTTGAAGATGATGTGGCAGCCGTAAAAATAACAGCTCTCAATATCAAACAGGAAGCAGAGTTGACGCAGACCCCTCTGCCACTCCATGGGGTCCGCCATTGTGATCCTGCTTTCCAGCCAGTGAATGAGCATGCAGGATGATGTCAACCTGACAGGATCCAGATCACCTAGGAAACACACTCTCAGGCACACCTGGAGGCACACCCACTTAGATTGGGTCAATTAAGGTAGAAGACTCACTCTAAAAGAGGGCAGCCCCATCCACGTGGCTTGGGTCCTGACTGCGTGGGTGTCTTGCTGTGTGATAAAACACCATGATCAAAGAAATTTGGGGAGAAAATGGCTTATTCAGCTTATGCTTCCACATCACAGTGTATCATCAAAGGAAGTCAGGACAGGAACTCAAACAGGGCAGGGACCTGGTGGCAGGAGCTGATGCAGAAGCCACGGAAGAGTGCTGCTTACTGGCTTACTCCTCATGGCTTGCTCAACCTGCTTTCTTACAGAACCCCAGGACCACCAGCCCAGCGGTGGCTCCACCCACAATGGGCTGGACCCTCCCCCATCAATCACTAATTAAGAAAATGCCCTACAGGCTTGCCTACAGCCCAATGTTACTGAGGCATTTTCTCAACGGAGGCTCCCTCCTTTCAGATGACTCTACCTTGTGTCAAGTTGACATAAAACTAGCTAGTAGAATGGACATTCATCCTTTTTGCTCTCCTGCCTCCTGACCGTGGTTGCAATGTGACCAGCTGCCCCAAGCTGCTGCCGCTATGATTTCCACCATGATGGACTATGAACGTGAGTCTAAATAAACCCTTTCTCCCGGAAGTTGCTTTTATCAGGATATTTTAACACCTCAACAGGAAAAGTAACAAATACATAGGGTGATTAATACAACCCTCTCTTCTACAGATCTCTATTAGGCTGCCCCATTGACTGC